TATACAATTAAGTACTAAACACAAAAAAAAAAACTTTTTCCCATTCTTCCTTTTGTGCTTGAAATTTTTCTTTTTAGAAAACTTTTAAATTGTTTACTTTTTCTTTTGCTCTCCCTTTCTTCTTTTTTTTTATTTCTCCTTTCCCATATCTTTTTATTTCTTCTTTTCTATTTTTTTTTTTTTACTGCGAATAAGCATAAAATGCGAGACTTTATTTACTAAGTGATAGTACTGTCATTACATTAAACATCCATTTAAGTTAATGTTAGCCTATTGCATGTATAACCTTTAATGTTACATTACACTAAGTAAGTGGTGCCACACCAAAAGTAGTCCATGAATGGCTTATGCCTATCTATAAACAGCTAAGTTAGGGCAGGTGGAAATATTTTTTTTAGTAATATAGAAGATTTTCAGGAATTTAGTCTTGATTTGGTAAGTTTTTGTTAAGTCTTTGTGTAATGTTATTGTTGTTGTCATTCCTAACAAGTTAATACCAGTTTGGTTCTTGTTGGATTAGAGTATCAGAATTGGATTGGCCGTTGAGATTGTGTAGATCATTTGGAAGGGTTGAGCTGGTTTTGGTTTTTGATTTTGAGAAAATTTTTGAAGTCATTGAGATAATGCAGTAAAGTATACTGTATTGTTATTTGGAAGGATTTGGTTGAGACAAGTAGAAGGATCCAAAACTTTACTTGAATATACTTTTAGGAAAAAATTAGCAATGTTGAGGATAGTGAGGAGAATGGTTATTATAAAAGTAATAAAGGAGGAGATGTATAAAGACAAAGTTAAGAAAGAGAACTGTCATGGGCCTTTCCCCATGCAACCAAAAAACAAACAAGACTCCCAAACTTGTTTGGCCTTTGACCAGAGGTCCCATCCCAATGCAACAGTGGTTTTTAAAGTCCTTATGTCCTTGATCTTATAGCATAGTTGGCATATTGAAGAGAGAGAAGAAAGCACTTCTTTCAAGAAAATTTTCATATAAGGAAATTTTCAAGAAATCAGTAGTGAACGGGTGAGAGTTTTTTTTTATTTTCTCTTCTTTTCTATTTTTTTACTTCCTTTCTATATATTCTTTATATAAAATTTATCACTTTCCCTTTCTTTTTCTTCTTCTTTGTTGAAGTTAGGTTTTTCCTTCTTCTTAAAGATTTTTTTTTAAGCTTCTCTTTCTTTTATAAACCTGCTCTTTATAACATCAATCCCTTGGCCAGTTGATTCTCTTTTCTCAAGACTATATTCAGAAGTAATAACTTCTTTCAAGATGTGGGCTTCAGAATTTTTCTCTCTTTTATGACCTTATAGAAAAAGGATGGATGGCTTACCCCTCCAAAAGATCAACATGGTCATCATTATCAAATCTGGTGTTATTTATTTGTTAATAGTTAAACTAGATATATTTAAGAAACCAGTGTACAACTATTATTATTTGAAAGTATCCAAGGAGTTGTAATGTCAACACAGCTAACAATAAGCTAGGTTAGTTTGCAAGTGTCATACTAGTGATTGAAGAAACTTAGTAGAATAATATATGAAAATCAGGAATTCTAGTTACTCCCACAACACGAGCTGGTAATGACAATAAGAGTTCTTTACTCATCCCTCTGACAATATAGGCTCATTATACAAGATTAGATAACAATATCTATAAAAAACTCCAACTCTATTATGTCTAACAACTTCTCTTAACAACCATTACTACATGTCCAAACACACTTTTTCCATCTTCCTCTGTCTTATACTTGTGCTGAATTCTATTCAAATACTTAAATGGCACAGCTATATATGCAAAGCTTCTTATAAAAAGCAGCTGTCTCCTTTTCTACTTGCTGCAGGTATAAGCAACTGCTATAGGCTTGGGTAATTTATAATCTGTCGCAATCCTAGAAGAATAGAGAAGGTCAAATACTAGATGATCAGATGAAAGGCTAATCTCCATTAGATGTCCAAGCCAAAGTAGCAACTACTTAACTAATTGAGCAAATTATTCAGATGAAGTATAGAGTGAAACATATTCAACTTGCCATATATTAAGTTATATTTGAAAAGCAAGCTTGCCAATCCTAGTTATGACTTGGAGGCCAATCTATATATAGTGGTTGCAGTACCTTTATATAATTAGATATCAAATTTCTCTAAGTAGTTAGATACCATTTAAGATATAATATAGGTTTTGAATTTCTTTTTTCTATATTCTTGAGTAGTGCTAAGAAGCACAGAGAATGGATCACATTTGTGAAACCTTACATTTAATTCTTTTTAACAAAGAAAGATGTATGTTATACTGTAAATATGTTATAAATCTTGTACTCGTAAGTCTAAAATTATAATAATAAAATAAAGTGTAATAGCCTTCTGTTCTTTCAAAAAAAAAATAATTAAGTATTAAACATGATTTAAAGTTTTTTGTTTTCATTTGAAAAATGATAGACAGCTACTTGTTTGACAAAATAAATCATCATTCTTTCTAATAATTATAACTAATTATAAAGAAACTCCATTATGCTATATATATTTATATAAAGAATACTTCCTATGTTTTTTATTTTTGATAAAAATTTCTGCTAAAATTTGTACTATATATGTATTATTAAAGAAAGATGTTGAAAAATCATATTCAATATTTTTTTCACCTTAAAGATAATTGCCTATATATGATCTGTAGGTCTATAGCACAGTGGTTAGTGTTCCGCAGGTCAGGTCACAAGATAATGGTTCAAATCCTCTAGAGAGCTAACATAGAAATCTCAAACTGGAAGAAATGGATCAGCATCTTCTGATCGCTGTCACAAGATACCAAGTTCAGTTCCAGATGAAGGTAACCAGACTGTCTCAAGATGATATCTGGCGCCATAACCTAACATGTGCTGTTTCCTATAAAAAGTCAATTAACATATTGATTCAATGGGTATTAGGATTGTGATACCAAGAAAGGTGTAGTGGTGTAATGATAGTTCGGTAGTGTTATAATGATTGTTATCATGTTTGGTGATTTCTCTCGTTTCTTATGCATGAAGCATACTTCCTTTCCCTTTAGTTCATGAGACTATAAAAGAAACAACCCAGTTTTCATATGACCGTAGCTAAAGCCACAAAAATTCCTTGTTGAATATGGCTTAGTCCACAGCTGATTGTATTAGGATATAGTTCTTCGAATTTCCATTCATCAGATGATAGATGGGACTAGAAGGCATATATCCTGACACATTAGCACTCTACCTATACAATCAGGATTCCAGTTCTGGTAATATAAGAAAAATAGAGGGCAATAAGTTGACCAGTAAATAAAGGTAATCTGAATCTTAGGTAGTTTTATTTGGAAATTAGCGGTGGTAAATTTGTAAATATGAATTTGTATATGCTGCATTTAAAATAATCTAATAAAACAAAATGTACGCCAGTCATTGAAAATAATAATAATAATAATTGCCTATATATATATATAGAGAGGTTACTAAAAATTGAATTGAATTTTTAATAGATAAAAATTATCAAGTAATACATTTATTTTTTATTATATAAGTAATAAACTATTAATGTATCACATAATCTTTTTTTTTAATTGTTTTATTTATATAATCAGGTATAGTATCTATATGATTATGAATCTTATTAAATTTAATATTATTTCATATTATAGTAATAGCTTCTTCTAAATCAAATCCATTATATGGTTTATAATTCTTATAAATTCAGATTTTAATTTCTTTTTATATATTTTCAATTGAACTAAAATCTAGAAATTGTAGTAGCCATTTAATAGACATAATATTAAATTTAGACTTGACTTTTTTCACAAGTTTATATTTGTGAATATATGCATTATTTTCCTGTAATATTTTTTTTTCAGCAATGAAAATTATTGGATAAATTGTATCCAAAATAAGATTTGAATATTCTTCTTTATTCATATAAGCCGAAATATAAGTTAAGTAATGCAAAGTGCTTCCATTCATATATCTCCAAACCATAATTAACTTGTATTTACTTTTGACAATTACCTATGTATAACTTGAATCATAAAGTTCATCTTTATGACATTAAATTCGAATTTTGCCAGCTGAATCAATGCTTATAGAAGATTTATCAATCTATAAAACTTGTCTCCAATCTTCTTTGAACTAATTTTTGTAATCTCAGATCCACTTTAATCATTTAATACAATTGGTTTTACTATTTATGGGTTTTTTTTATACAATGTGAGATCGAATGCCTTTTTTTTTAAAAATTTTTATTAGAGTGGTTGAGAATATAAAATTTGTTGAAAATTTGACAACAATTTTTTTTTTTAACATTTTTTTAATTTCCAGATTTGTTTTTATCTTGTAAAGAATTAAACATTCAAACCATTGATTTACAATTGATTAAATTGCTGGTTGACTTCAAACACCTAATACAATTTTTGATACAATTGTTTGATCAACCAAGAATTCATGCAATTTTAATCACAGACATACCTTCTTTTTTTAATATTTCTATAGTATGAAGTTCACCTTCTATAAGATCCTTTTTCATTCACATTTTTTTTAAAAGATCTTTTTTTTTTTTGAATTTTTTACTTATATAAAAAACAAACAAAAACAATTTTCTTTTGTTAACCCGCAGTATAATGCAAGTACATATTTAATACTGAATTGCTACAAAGATAATATTCATCGACTCAATTTTTAGTAACCCCTCTGTACAATATAAATTTTGGGGTAACGACCCTAGGGTCCTAAAAACTCCCTGTCCGCCTTCGAAAATAATTAACCATATTTGACAAAAGAATATTGAATTATCAACAATGATGTAATAATGACAATTCGATATTCTTTGTCATTGATAATCAAAATAATATAAGATACTTACTATAATTAAAAATAACAATCAGTAAAATAAATAGCAAATAGAGATTTAATTATTAATATTGCATTGTTTACCAACCGTATATTGATTTACTGATTACGCTTCCAGATTATAATAAACGCGAAACAAAAGCACAATAAAAATCGATGGCAGATACTGTTGCGCAAAATAAGAATATCACCGAAGGTCTTACCTTTAAACTTTAAATATTGCTTATTTGTTAAATAAAATACGTGAAAACTGAGTTATTTCTTGTGTATTAAAGACGAAGCTGCTTTGTATGACAGACAGATCAGATTATGGGGTTTAGAAGCTCAACAACGGTTAGTACTTTTTTTCTTCATTGAATAATAACTTATTTATTCTAATTTCATGATTCAAAATATCAAAAGAATCTGTACCTCATCAATTCTAATATGTGGGATGAGAGGTTTAAGCAACGAAGTATGCAAAAATCTCGTTCTCGCTGGAGTTGGTGCTATCACAATCATTGATCATAATATGATTACTGAAGAAGATTTGGGTGCACAATTTTTTGTCACGGTCGAAGATATTGGAAAGAATGTATGAATACTTAATGTGAATGAGTTATAAAGCGTTTGGGTAAAATATATTCATGTTATAACGTCTATTTATACAGAAAGCAATGACTTCTGCTGATCGGATTCGTCAATTAAATCCTCGTGTCAAAGTCACGTCCGACTCAAGTAATTTAAGCACAAAACCAGATGAATTCTTTAAATCTTTTGACTTAATATGCCTTACTGATAGCAATTCTGAAACAATGGTATGAGAAACTCTACAAATTCCAAGTAAATATATAATTTATTTATGGGGGTTTTTTTTTTGCGACTTCGTAGATACGAATTGATCAGATCTGCCGTAAGTTTGACAAAAAATTTTACGCGGCAAGTACTTATGGTTTCTTTGGCTATATATTTTGTGATCTGAAGCAACATGAATATATAGTGTAAGCATTTTGAATTCGCGTTGGTATTTACATTGTTTTAAATCAGAAACCTCATTGTTTATTATCTTATTTAGTGAACGAAAAATTAAATTACCTCATTCCGAAGAACATCAAATAAAGGTCTTAAAGAAAATGGAAGACTACATTAGTTTTCAAGATGCTTTATCTAAATCGGATTGGTCAGAAATGAAAAAACTTAAAAGAATTAATCCATTATTATGGGCCATTCAAAGTATTTTATTTATATATAAATTCTATTCATACTGATATTATATTTCATTATATAAGAGACATTCTAACAATTAGTGATTATGTAGTTTTATGGAGATTCCAACAAGAACAAGGGCGATTACCAATTGCAACTGACATAATGGATATTAACAAATTAAAATTAATAAGGAATTCATTCTTGCAATCAAATGAAATTGATAATACAAATGTCTCGGATGAATTTATTCAGTAGGTAGAAATGATTAATTTTTCTTTATAGTTAGATCCAAGTTTCGAAATTAATTGGAATATATTTGTTATCAAGAACACTTGCAATGAACGCGCCTACTGAAATAGCACCGGTCTGCGCGATTATAGGAGGTGTATTGGCTCAAAATATTCTAAATGTTTTATCACACAAGGGATTGCCTATCAAAAATTTTTTTTTATATAATGGGTTTCAAGGTAAGAATAGGAACACCTGATTGTGTCAATATACAATTATTAAATTATTGTTATTTTTAGGTAATGGATACGTTTATAACGTTGAACAAGGAAAGAACATATTTAACGAGAAAGCCATTGACAATTGACAAAATAACAAGAATTGCATAATTAGCGTAAGATATCGATAGATGCATTGCGTGATCAAACTTAAAATTAAAAATTATTTTCAAAAATTGATCCATACTGATTTTTTTAAATAATAAAAAATATTAAAATTGGATGTAAAATTTTTATTTAAATAACTGTATTGTTTATAATTAATCTATTTAGTTTAAAAATATATATTTTTTTTTATATGATAAATTTAATTTATTAATTGTTTGTATATATGATATATAGTGCAAGTCATAAATTTTTAGAATTAAAATTATTTAAAAATAAAATTGTATAAAAATATTTTTGAAAAACTTATAATTTTAAGATTATTTAAAATATTGTTAAATTTTCTTATTGTTTTTATTCTTAAATTTTATATTTGATAAAAAAATTTTTTTAAAGTCTAAAGTAATGCATTTTTATTATTATTTATTTGTTTATAACTCGGGAAAGTAAAGATTAAAAGTAAAATAATATATATTTTCTATATTTTTTCAATAGGTTTAATAATTGCTAAATACTAAAACAAGTTGATAATATTATTAATTACTACATAACTATATTAAAATAAATTTTTAAACTATATATTGTAACTATATATGGAATCAATTTTATAGAATAAAATTATATAAAAGTGCTATATTAATATATAAGTTTGTTTTCAAAAGATTAAGGAATAGTCTTAAAAAAGAAACAACATTATTATTTTTTATAATTATACTTAGAGAGTTAAGATTTGAAAAGTCTAAGATAATTAATATCATATAGTAATAGCTTAATAAACTTATTTCCTTATAGTGAAATTGTTAGTAAATAGCTAAATCATATGAATAACACTGTGGTATTGGTTATATATATGATTATATTATTATATATAATAATATAATTTTCCAAAAAAAACTTAAACTCTTTCTGCTAATCCTCTAGTTAATATAAAAACAAATGTTTTAAAAAAATTTTATATTTCTTTGTAATAAAGTTTATATACTTTTTTTAACAACATTAATAACTAGAGTCTGTAGTCTTCTCTCTTGTTTTTTTCTTTCTTTGATATAAACTTTTTGTATTTTAATAAGTAAATACAAAAAAAATTCACCTATAAAGTTAAAGGCAAGAATACTTTGTTAGGAAAAAAAACCTGTAAAAAAAACATTATCCTTTTTTTCTCCAGAAATTTAAGATTCTAAAAAAAACTATTACTAACTTTTGGAACTCTTTTTTTATATTCCTCAAGTTTTTCTCTTATTTTCTTAAGCATGTATACTTTTTTTTTTGGTTTTTCTAAGAAATTTTGCCTATCTCAGTTTGATCCTAAATTTTTGGTTATATCGGAATTCTTGAATAATGATTGATTCGAATTTTGAACTGATTGATTCATATATAACAAGAAATATAAACAAGACACATAACTCCTACATGTCCTATTTCATACAACATAAAATCTGATGATGTCATTGGATATAATAAAAAAAGTAAGATGACAAGATGTTCTTTTTGTTAAGAAGTATTATAGTGTTCCCCCTTTTTTTTTAAACTGGTTTCTTTTCTCTTTAAGATCAAAAGAAGTTCAATTTCAATTTAGTAACAAGCTTTCTCTGTTATTGATTATCCCAAAAATGTTTGGAGAAAAGAGTCTTGAAACTATTTACTGGTTGAAAGAGAAATCACCAATTGAAATATCAATTCTCTCTAAAGGTTAGAAACCTTCAAATGTAAAGTTTCAAGAATTACTTTTCTAAAAGTGCTCTTAAACGTTCTTGGTCAACAATAGAATAGTAAAAATTAAATGGTTTATCTAGCTGCAGGTAGTAGTAAAGAATTTATTTTGATAGATTGAAGTTGATATTGAAGTGTTTTTATTTATCAAAACAAACTCTTCAATTATTCTTTCAATTACTCTTTATTTTCTTAAAAAAATAAAAAAATTTTTTTTTACTTCTTAGGATCACAGATTCATATTGGGGTGACAGTCTGAATATAGGCTGGCTATAATTTTTCTCAAGGTCAAGAAGCAATCTTAGAAAAAAAGTGATTTTATTATTCTTTACAATTACATTTAGAGAATTATATAACTCATTGATGGGTATTCTGTATTAAATACAATTTAGTTTTAGTATATAACCTTAAGGTTTAATATATTATTATATTATTTCTTTGAAAATTAATAAACACTATAAATGCAGTTTAATTAGAAAAAATATATATATATATATTATATATATAATAATATGATTTTCAATTAATTTATTATATTTTTAATAGTAATACAGTTTTTAAAAAATATTTGAATTCAATTTTATCACATATATAGTCTTGATATTAAGGATTCAAGAATTACATATAAATTTAAAAATAACCTGTTAATAGATATTTTGCAATATATATAGTTTAGCTCTAATATAAAATCTTATAGTTTAATATATATTGTATTTATAAATTAATAAATATATAAATTATAATCTAATTAAAAACAATATACAGTGACACCTGTCTAAATGTATACTGTTGAAACCAACAAACTTTTATGTATTTAAACAAAATATGCATATACTGTATATGTTTATATATAAATATTCCTTTTAGTATTAAGATCATGATTTATAATTATCAAAGGAAATTTCTATCTGTAACAGAAAATACTAAATTACTCAATAAATTACTATCTTAATTGCTTTTTAGATCTTAATAAAAGTTGTTTATCTAAAAAAAAAACTCTTTTCTGTACACAACATTTTTCTTAAAAATTTCCTTTTATAGTAACTTTTTAAAAATTAAAGAAAAAAATATTCCTTTCGCTT